TATGATGAATCACATGGACATTTAATATGTAGTCAATGATTTATCATAAGATCGTACTAGTGTATTATTAATCCTTAGACCTGAGATATCACGGTTAGATTCTGCATAAACGCATATGGTTCATGTGGTGTATAAACACGAGGCTAATCATGTCATGTGTTAATAAGCCGACTTGGCCATGTGTTGTTTATGTGTGAGGACAAGTGATAGTCAAGATGAAATCTGTTGACTTGGTATAGATTGATATCAAGTTCCTAGACAAATGTCAAGATACATTGGAAAAGGGAAATCTTCGGCCGGGGTATATAAAATGTTACATGAAATGTTGTTTCATGGTGACACGTTCCATATTTATTGAATTAAAATTAAGATAAGGATTTTGACATACCATAAATCCATTCTTAATTGGGATTAGACAACGGAAGGATTTGATTATACAACGTGAATGATTGTAAAAGATTCGTTGGAGTATATCTTCATTGTGACTTAGGGGTTATGGAGCATTGCTAGATGCCTATCATAATCAGTGGGAGTTTTGTTCATAAAGAGTTATGACAAAACATATCAAAATAGACTACGATATTGGGCCCACGGCTAAGCCACAGTGAACCTAAGAGGTCACACATAAAAACTAAGGAGAATGGAGAAATAGCCAAAGAGAGTTGATTATCCAAAGTTGGCTAGAACCTACCAAGGTTAATAAAGTTATTTATATTAATCATTTTCTTTATATTAAATTGGATTTTATAAGGGGTTGTAATTGTAAACATATGAACAATTTAAGGGTTAAATTGTTATATAAACAATTTAAGAGTTAAATTGTTAATTGTGATTAAATGTTAATTCAATGTTATAATTTAAAGAAGTTTAACAACTTCATAACAATTATGGAATTGTTTAAGGAAGTCCAAAACAATTATTGAATTGTTTACAAGGATTCCTATATAAAGAAAATGATATATGAATTTTTGTAGAGAGAAAAAAAAATCTCTAAGAACCCTAAATTTTCCTCTTGGTCAAATTTCTTCTTCCCTTGGTGTGGATACTCTTTTGCTTAATTTCTCTTGAAATTAAGAGTCTCCAAGGTTGCTAAGGACTTAAGGTAACATGTTCTACCTTACTTATTTCAATTTGATTGAATTTTTTTTTTAAACTATTACTATACTTGTTATAACATGATATGCTTGATTCTCCATGCATCTATCTTTCAAAAACAGCCCTGGTTACATTAACCCCTACAGTTTAAAATATAACAAGAATCCCCTGAAACCTAAATCAGACCAGAGAGGCTGCCAGTTCCCGATCTGACCGGCCGATCCAATTCGGTTGTTAGAATATTGGTTTTTTGGTATTAATATTGCGGTTGTTAGAATCTATTTATTAGCTAAGCTATAGTTTGTAGTTTGTTTCTTACTTACACAGTGGTAGTATAATTAATCTATAGTTTGTAAGTTTTAATTTGTTTCTTACATTATTTGGAAATTCATAAGAGTTGCTAAGATATTATCCGCTTTAGATTTTTGTCCTTAAGATTTTGCTTTTGGGATTCAACCCTAAAAATGTTTTTAACAATTTAGGGTATGTTTGTTTTATTATTTTGGATAGGATTTTGGAAATAATATTGGGTAGTTGAAAAAGGGAGTATTACGAGGTAAAATTTAAAAACTAACCAAAAAACCCCCTAGGTTTGCTAATTTAACTAAACACCCCAATATGTAAAAATTTTATAAAATGACAAAAACACCCCCACCCACCCATAGTGCCAGATTCCGGCCATCACTGTTGGAATCTGGCCAGAAAATGGCGTTACAACGCAGACTGGTCAAATCTGACAGGTAGGACGTCGATATGGCCTTTTTCGGCCAGATCCACCACGGATCTGGCCGGAAAATGGCGTTACAACGCAAACTGGTCAGATCTGGCAGGTAGGTGTCAATATGGCCTTTTCTGACTAAATCTACAGCTAGATCTGGCCGTTGACGGCCGCAAAAGTCTAGATCTGACCGTCAGCGACGGTCAAAGATATGGTCGTCGTTGTCGATCAACGATAGCCATTTTTTTGGTTGTCGCTGACAGCCAAATCGATGAATTACCAACCACTTCCGGTCGTTTGTAGACTGTTGTGACATATTCCGGCTACCACCGATGGTGGTTGCTAGAATCTGACAAGTATGGGTGGGTGGGGGTGTTTTTGTTAATTTTTAAACTTTTTTAAGGTATTTAATGAAATTAATAAACTTAAGGGGTCTAAAAGTAATTAAAAATATATTTATATTTTTCAAATTACAAAACAAACAAGTATTTTGGGAACAAGATTGAGAATATGGGTAGAAATAATAAAAAAACGCACCCTTAAAGACTCATAATAGTATTTAACTAACATTTTACTGTTCTATCAAAATGTTATAAAATATCACACCTAATATCTACTTAATTTGGCCTAGACTGTTATAAATGTGTGCCTATATCTCATATGTTTTGGTTGTATTTATTAGTAAGGTGTTTCACCCTAATTTTTATCTTTATCTTTTTTCTTTTTAAAATAAGCAAATAAATCAAAACTTGAAGCATCAATCTTGCAAATGTAAATAAAATTGTGTTAAAAATCACATACCATTTATTATTATTGTAATCATCTACTGCAGTTGTTAGATTCTATTTAGCTAAGACATAGTTTTTTGTTATTAATATTGCCATTTGTTATTATAGCTAAGCTATAGTTTGTAGTTTGTAAGTTTTAATTTGTTTCTTCCTCACCCATTTGTAGTATTTGGAAATTCATAAAAGTTGTTTTTGGGATTTTTGCCCTCAGGATTTTGCTTTCGGGATTCAACCTGAAATACGTTTTGACAGTTTAAAAACTCATATAATATTTAACTAACATTTTATTCTTCTATTAAAGTGCTATGAAATATTACACTTGGTATTTACTTAATTTGGTCTAGACTGTTATAACTGTATTCTTGCATATATTTAGTTTAAAATACTTGCATATAATCTCATATGTTTTGGTTGTATTTATTACTAGTTTTTAATTAATTAATTTATTTATTTATTTTGTAAATAAGCAAATAAATCAAAACTTGAAGTATCAATCTTGCAAATGTAATGTAGGAAAAATGGGCTGACATGGTAGTGTTGCCTTTTCATTGGGCCTTAAATAGGCCGGCCCCATTATTGAATAAGTTTCTAATTTTCTATTACAAAATATTTTCAAATCGTAGTAAGTTTTAGAATCAATAGACCAATAAAGAGAGATTTGGTTTAAAAAGCTGTAAAAATAATGATTTTCCTCCGGTGCCGACTCCAGGAAATTTAGGGCTTTAGGTAAAAAATTCTAAAATAGGCTTTTTTTCATGTGTTATACGAAATATAATTTTACTTAATTTTTATAAATAAAAACTTTCATTTAAGTCTACATCTCTTTATCAGTTTATAAATTTATTGGAAACTCTTTTTTTTTTCTTTTTAATTAACTAATTTTTCTATCCAATTTCTCATTTTCTTAATTTTTCATATATATAAAAGAATTTGATTCAACCCTAAACACATTTTCATAGTTTAAAAACTCATAATAGTATTTAACTAACATTTTACTCTTCTATTGAAATGTTATGAAATATCACACCTAATATCTACTTAATTTGGTCTAGACTGTTATAAATGTGTGCATATATCTTATATCTTTTGGTTGTATTTATTAGTAAGGTGTTTCACCCTAATTTTTATCTTTTTCTTTTTAAAAAAATAAAAAAAAGCAAATAAATCACAACTTGAAGTATCAATCTTGCAAATGTAATATTGGAAAAATCGGCTGCCCTGATAGTGTTGCCCTTTCATTGGGCCTTAAACGTGGGCTTGTAATTAGTTTTGTTGATAGGCTGGACCCATCATTGGATAAGTTTCTAATTTTCTATTACAAAATATTTTTAAACTGCAGTAACTTTTAAAATAATAGATCCATGAAGAGAGAGTTGGTTTAAAGCTGTAATATAATGATTTTCCACCAGTGTTGGGCTTTACGTGAAAAATTCTGAAATAGCCTCCTCTTTTTTTTTTTTTTTTTTTTTTTTTTTTTTTTTTTTTACCAAAGAATTTCACAATGACAACCTTGGGGATTGTTTCTTATTTACTTTTAATTTTATTGTTATCACGTTCATAAACAAAAGTAAGTAAATAGCAGTTAACAAGATTTTTATTCATACTAATCTGTATACTGATACACTAACATTCATTTTTATTTATTTAATAAAAATATTTAAAAACTTTAAAAACTAGTTTAACTTTAACATTCATTTTGAAATTATAGAATACTCTGTAGCATTTTCTTCATCCTAATTTTTTTTTAATATTTGCATTATTTATATCAATATTTATGATATTTATATAGTAATTAATTATAAGATACTTGAATGGAAGATATATTAATTAAAAAAACTAATTATAATTATGATTTTATACTTTAAATAAACAGTAAAGGTTAGGATACTGTGACTTAAGATTTTAATTTAATTTTTTGACACTTTTTGTGAATCATCTATGGTTTATAAACTAGCAGTGACAAGATATATCAATAATGATGGACGATTTATAAGGTGTGTCAAAAAATTAAGTAAAAAATTTAAGTTACAATATCCTGACCCAATAAATAATTATTTTCCTACCATGATTTTTTTTTTTTTAATCATTCAATATAATATTATAATTTGAAATATAAAATTAAATTAAATATACAAAAATCAATTGAAGATATTTAATAATATTATTTTTAAATCCAGAAATTATTTAAGAAAATATATAATAATATCCACAAATTTTAACTATTAATTTGTTCAATAGTATAAAAAGAGAAGAAAAAAAAAAAAAAAAATTGTCCCCACTTGGAATAAGGAGTCCCACATCTCTCCATGGCAAAGAATCCAGCATACGTTATAGCTTTTGTTAAAGCAAAGCCCCATGTAAAAAACAGAAAGCTCACTACAGCCCATAACAAAAAATTATTACCACACGTACGGTAGTTCATTATTAGCTGAAAAATATATCTCATCTTTGAGAAAATCTTCATCCAACTCATATGAATTCCAAAAACTAGAGCTACTGGATTTCTTGGCCTTCAACTCTTTTAATTCTTTCTCATATATCGGATGTATCCCACACTTCTTCACCTTTGATCTTGGACATGAAAGCTTGCCAGAACATTGATGATAGAGTTTTTTCCCCGAAAAATAGAACAGCCCAAGATGGTCTGACAGAGCCTTGCTCGAATTCTCTTTAAAACGAACCCTACGTTCTCCACCCTTGCCCGAATTCTCTTTAAAACGAATCCTACGTTCTCCACCTCGAAGGATAGGGGTCATTGTGTAGTAAATCCCATGTGTGCCCATGTAATAACCTTCACTATGGGTAGGCTGATGCTCATAGACATCCAAAACACAGCAGACAACATATCCCACTATCTTGTTATCATAAGAATCTGGAGGCATTTTTATTTTAATTGAAGAAGTCTCACTCTGATGTTGGAACCACTCTGGAATTTCACTTCCGGGAATAACCATCCCAAATTCATTAATCTTCTGATAACACCAACTACTTTCTTTGGGCTTTGCCATTGCCTGCACTCAGAAAAAGAAAGAAAAGTTGTATAATAATGTTTAACTCAAAAGATGAAGACAAAGAAAGAGAAAGACACTAACCTTAAGGAATTCTCTGGGCATTGAAGATGCCAGATTGTTGCAGCAGATCAATTTCAAGCAGTTTACAGATGAAAACATTGACAACTTGGAATTGCATAACCTTAATGCATTTGATGTTGTTTCCAGTGCAACACAACCATCTACGTCAATAATTTGTATGCTGGATGGCAGTTCTGGTAGAGATCGAAGTCTCTTACAACCATCCAAGAAAAGACCGCAAAGCTTAGAAAGATGATTGATGCTTCCAGGTAGTGAAACAAAATTGTTTTTGCTTAGTTCTAACATCCATAATAAAGGAAAGCTATCGAAAAAGTCATTAGGAATCGCGCCTTCCTCTATGTTGCAATCAGCGAGAACCAAGTGTCTTAAAGATCCGTAAAAACCTGACGGCAATCTAAAAGTCTTGGGGAAGAGTGAAGGCAATGTCAATTGAACTTTTGAGTGAACTTTGCATCCACGAAAATATAACTCTTTAAGATTCTTCAAAAGAAAAATGGACGGCATTGGTCGTCTTATCGCAGTTCCCGTTACATCAAGTCTCTCTAGCTTTTCAACTCGCCCCAAAGTCTCTGGCAAGTTATCAAGTTTGGAGCATCCAGAAAGGTAGAGATTTTTAAGAGATTCCAAACCATTTATAGTGACCGGCAAGTTATCAAGTTTGGAGCATCTAGAAAGGTCAAAATATTCAAGAGATTTCAAGCCATTTATAGTGACTGGCAAGTTATCAAGTTTGGAGCATCCAGGAAGACTAAATAATTGAAGAGATTTCAAACCATTTATAGTGACCGGAAGACTCGCAAGATTTTTGCAGTCTTCCAAATCAAATTCTTCAAGTCCACTCAAAAGTTCAATTGACATTGGCAGTACTTTAATAGCTGTTCTGTTTAAAGAAAGGAAACGTAGACAATCCATACCTCCTACAATCTCTGGAAACTTCTCCAATTTGTAGCAACAATATAGATCGAGTCTTTTTAGAGATTCCATATGAATTTGGTTTGGCAGAGTTGTAAGACTAGTACAATCCATCATATTCAATTTAGTAATCTTTTTGTGTACCAACAAAGATGGGTGAATCTCACGCAACATTTCACAATGACAAAGATCCACATCCTTGAGATTTGGGGCAAATGTGAAATCTGGTGTTTTGATTAGGTACTCACACATTTTAAAACTGATGGATTGCAAATTGTTGAAAGCCTGTTAAAAGAAAAAAAAAAGTTTGACAAAGATGTGGGCTGCCTTAATTTTCCATATTTATTAAACAATAAAAAGCATAAAATATTCCATATATAGTTATTTTACTCACAAAAAGTAAAATAGGAAAGTGTAATTGAATTAATCTTACAGTTATTCCTTGTGGCAATTGCTCAATGCGGCTCTGATCCATTTTCAGCTCAATAATTTTGTCCAATCGCAAATGTGGTGGTAAGGATTTTAAAGGATATCCTTCCCAATCAAGTAAACGCAAGTTGTTGGAAAGGTAATTAAGGCCTTCTGGAAGTTGAACATTACGGATCTTGAGCAATCTTAGATTGATCATTTTCAAAAATGCTTCAACACAACAATGGATCTTTTCTTTAGAAAAGTTGAGTATTATGCCTTCAACTACTTCAGTTCCCTTGAAATAAAATTAAAAAAAAAAAAACAAAAACAAAAACAAGAGAGGGAGAAAGCAAGTTAAGAATTAATTACACATGAATTTATCTATATAGATATGAGTGCAGTCTACTTGAAAAAACAAGAGGCAATAATTTATAAGTTTGCTATTAACATTTTAATATAATCTAATAGAAGTATTTTTGTTTTACATACTTAGAAATTTGTTAAACATATGCTTCCGTCATTGTTATATTTTAAAATTGTTAAAATAATATAGGTTTTTTATATTTTTTTTAATTTAAATATATGTCCCCGTCATTTTCACAAAAATCTAATATAAGTATTTTTATTTTACATATTTAGAAATTTGTTCTCATAAAATGATACTAAAAGCTTTCATGAATTTTTAAGATATATATTTAATTGATTTTTTTCCTTATTCTTTTTCAAAATAATTATCAATTTTTTTTTTTAAATTATAGATCGTACTATTCTAATTAAATGTACAAATGTTTTGTTTCATGATATTTGTTACAGTAAAGAAGCCTATCATTAATTCTTTGTTAGTATGCTCATGTATATCATAGATATCTAAACTAAGGAGAAACAAAATTAACTACAAACAAAAAGATAATTTTGGAAATAAAAGTGTTTTTGAGGAACAAGAGACTTTAATATGCTCAATTGGACTACAAATTGGTCAACAAATACAGAAAATAATAAAAAAAAAAGAAACAAAAATTAAATATGCATGTGTAATCTGGAGAGGCTAGCTACTGTGCTAACAATGCACTAGCTCACTCCTTATATAGATATTTAACTAGTTAAAGCAAATGATGATTGAAAAGGTGCACATGATTATAACAAATTTGAATTGCTTACCGTGTTCTTTGTCAATACATGATGAATGTCTGCTTCCATCCACAATCTACTGCGTTTTCCAGGCTCTCCGGGGCACTCTCTCTTGACAATTTGTTGACCCATTTGTTGTAACAAATCGTGCATCCACAATGTATCGTCATATATAATATTTATGAGCGATTTCTCAATTAGAACATCTATTCCAACAATTGGAGAAAAATCACAACTTTTAAGAATTCTTGTCACATAATCTCTATTCTCTCCTTTAAAGAAACATGCTATATCAAGAAATATTTTTTTCTCTGATTCTTCCAACCCATCAAAGCCTATTTGAAGTACCTCCAGTATTTCTTTCTTACAATCTCTTTTTAGTCTTTGCAATGCATCTTTCCATACATGAACTTCTCTTCCACAAAAAAAGGAGCCCAAAACTTTAAGAGCTAATGGAAGACCACTAGCATATTGTACAACACATTCGGATAGCTCCCTAAAACTTTCTGAAGGTTGATGTTTCTTAAAGGCTTTTGAAATGAATAATTGGAGGGCATCATCATCATTTAATTCCTCAGCCTCATAAACATCATCTACTCCATGGGATTTCAACAATCTTTTGTCTCTTGATGTTATTATGATCCTACTACCCATGCCAAACCAATCATGCTTGCCAGCTAATTTTTCTAATTGCTCTATATTGTTCACATCATCTATAACAATAAGAACCTTCTTACGCTCCAACCTGCTGTTTATCATGTTAATTCCACCAAAGTCATCGTATACGTTGATGTTATCTTTTTGCATATGTAGAATTTGGGAAAGAAGCGTCTTTTGCAAAGAAAGTAGACCCTCTTTTTCGGATTTTTCTCTAACACCATCCAAAAAACTACTACCTTCAAATTTATCAAAAAACGAGTTATAAACGACTTTAGCAATTGTTGTCTTCCCTATTCCTCCCATTCCACAAATCCCAATCATACGAACATCATTTGACTCAAGACTTACAAATTTAATTAGTTTCTCCAAACGTGAATCTATGCCTACTAGGCCCTCGACACTTGCGTATTTTGAAAAACATAATTTGCTTGATATTTCCTTCACAATTTTTTGAATAAATTGTGACTCATACCTGAAGAGTGGAAAAGATCAAGAAAAAATTGTGGTTACAATTTATAACACTAGCTAGTCATGAATATACTAATGAATATATAATGCGTATCATAAAAATTATCTACGTACCCCTATAGGTTTATACACATGAAACTTTCATTTTTGCTTTTTGTTTAGATTTACTTTTTGCATTCAGTCACTATTGTAGTTATATTTCTATACTTTTTGTATTATATACTATATGTCTTAGTTACAATAACAAGGAAAATTGAATAAAAGTATTCATGCTTGTCTAAGAAAAACCAATTTATTAATTACTGGCCTCCGTCATTTTCTATCACGACTCGGTGAAATATGAAAAAGCTTATTTTATTAATTATCTTTTACATTAATTAATTTAGTATTAAATACTGTCTTTACAAATTAAGAATTTGTTAATTAAATATTTCATTGTATGAAACTATGAATACCTTTAAATTTCTGATAAAGATAAAACTTGGTTTGAATAAGAAATTCAATGATTAATTTGAAGTATCAACACTAATGACTGACGCATTTAAACAATCAAGTCATAAATATCATTTTCATAATTCATTTTGATAACTAAGCTTTCCACTATAAAGAAGAAGAAATAATTGTCACATACCCATCCTTCAAGTCAAATCCAGAGTGATCGGCCACCTTTGTCAAAGCATCTCTCCAAGTTTGCACCTTTCCAATATCCTCTCTAAAAGTTTCTTTATGTTTGACAAAGGCTTTTCCATATTCTCCTGTTTGTTTTCTAACCATGGAAGGATCCACGTTATAGAAAACTGGAAAAAAATTTATATTCTTGCAATGAACAATTTGAACAAGTTCATCTAAACACCATGTGGAAGATGCATAGTTTCTCGAGAGAACAACAACCGCAGATCTTGATTCTTCAATTGCATGAAGGAGCTCTGGTGAAATCGGTTTTCCTCTCGGAAGTTCTTTGTCATCCTTAAAAGCATGCAGTCCTTTCTGTTTGAAAGCATAGTACAAATGATCTATGAAGTTCTTCCTTGTGTCTTCACCTCTAAAGCTTAGAAAGACATCATATTTCCAACGATAAGAAGAAGATGTTGATGAAGAGGTTGTTTGCATGATGAGTTTACAATACGTCCTCTATAGAACCTGAAAAATTAATTGGAAAGGTAATTAACTTCTTGCAGACCATCTATACGTATTTTCAATTTCCAGAAGAGAATAAAAATAAAAAAATGAAAAAGAAACAAAACAACAACAAATTTTCGTTGAATTAACCCAATCATAAAACAGAACAACACAAAAATCACATTTTTATCTATGCTGTAAACTTAAACTACAAAAAGAACAAAAGAAGACAACTACCTCCAAAAGCAGAAACAGTTGCAAATGTTAGCCCTCTCTTAAACAGCCTCAGCAATGAACAAATTCAAATCTCGCGATTCAACAACCTAACTCGTGAGTCGAAATCGCTTCAAAGCCTCCAAAGTCGAAAAAACTCCGTGACAACAACTCTAAACCTTGTTGCACAACATTTTTAACCAACCCAAAAATCCAAACTCGCCAACCTTAAGTCCAACCCGTCACTGTAACTCACCGTCAACACTCAAAAATCATCAAAAATATGTATTTTCAATTTCCAGAAAATAATAAAAAGAAAAAAAAATAAAAAATAAGCCACTAATTTAAATCTTGTAAATCTAAACAAACATGATCAGCTAGCTTGTTTAAAATAAATATTTAATGTTTCACTCTTAAGCAAACTACAAAAAAGTTGAAAAATTAAGAAATCAAAGATTGTTGAGAAATTAAACTTACAGTGCTATGAGGGTGTCACTGCAGTTGTATTGAGAAAGTGTTTTTGAGTGAACAGTTTCAATTGGGTAATTGTTTCAAAGAAAGAAATGCTTCTGTCAAAATTTCTTCGATTTTTCTCTCTTCTTAATTTTCACGCTCTCTTAAAAAATATATATAGAGGAAAGAGTAGAGCAAATACCACTCAACTTTCAAGAAGTTTTGAGGAAATTACACAAAGGACTATTCTCTCTGAGTCTTTGAATTTCCACTTTATGACAAGTCTTTGAATTTCCTTTTTACTTTTCCCTATGCGAGCATGTCATGTGCCTGCTTTCATGTTTTTTTTTTTTTTTTTTAATTTGTTAATTAAATATTACTTTTATTCTCAACCCAATAAGTAATGTGAATGCTTTTTGTACTCACATAATCACACTAAAAGACATGTACTGTTCTCTGGTCCCCCCTTGTCCCCATCAAAAACCAAGACCAAGACTATCTCACGTCTTTTATAGACTTTTAACCTCTATCACATCATTTATTCCTATTTAAGCTATATAGATATCTACATAATAATATTTTATTAGATGATATACAAATAACGTGTTATAGAGTAATTTATTCGAAAATTTTCCACGTAGATTCCATTAGAGGGTATGAAAATGAAGCGCACAGGTGGAGGCAATAACTACTTATTATGACAAAGCCCACATGAGAGAGAGAGAGAGAGAGAGAGAGAGAGAATAGTTTAAATTGTTTATAAATAAAAATCTTGAATTATAGATGAAAGATATTTGTATTTTTGAATTATTCTTATTAGTTCATTTACAACACTTTTAGTTTGTTCTTTTTAAAAAAATTATTAAATATATCAATAAGGTATATATTATAGTAATTATATTAATTATATATTTATTTTTGTTATTTTCTTACTTTTTCATTACATGTGTCTTTCGTTCTACTAATGCTTTTCTATTTTGATTTTTACTTTCACACAAAATTTCTTCCATTTTTCTCTTCTCTTAATTCTCACAATCAGAAAACTTTAGAGGAAAGAGTAGAGTAAATACTAAATACCACCACACATCATCTATTTTCTCTCTCTATCTCTCTTTGAATTAATTTTTCACTTTTCCCTAAGCGAGCATTTCAATACATGAGATGATGTGAATTATGATTTAGTGCTCTGCACAATATGTACATGTTTTCATGTTTTTTTTTTTAATCAATTTATACGTATTTCAATAAATTTTTTGAAGTCTTAAAATTGATAATCAGGTAAATGACCCATAATGATCATTTTTATTAACAACTACATCATACCTAGGTTAATGAATTGTGACAATAGGATGAAGTGATAAATTAAAAATTAGATTTATGATAATTATATACTTTTTAATGGGTCCTAGATAGATATATAGATAGTCAAGATCCTAAGATGCTTTTTATCCCACTTAAACATATTACATATATTTTATTATAATGTGGGGAAATTAAAAAATTGGTATCATCTATTTGGAATTAAGGTGGTGCTAAAACCCTATTGCTTGACTTTGACAAAAACGTGTTTCACACAGTAAGATTTTTTTGCTGCAAAATTTCATTACAATTATTAATGCTTTTCTTTTGTGATTTTTACTTTCGCTCACTATCAAAATTCTTGTTATTTCTTTGCAAATACGTGTTGTTCTAATCCAACAGCAATAAGAAAGAAGGTGTTGACCCATGTCATATATGACTGTTGAAATCCACAACCAACAGGCGTAATAAAATAAAACAAAAAAGTAAATAACACATTTTGATTTATCTTGATTCGTTTTGATTAAAGAATTATATTCATCATTCAAATAAAGATTTTGTAAAGTATCAGAACTCTACAATAATTATAAATCTATAATAACGACAGTTCACTCTCCCTATTTTTTTAACTAGGTTTCTCATTGTTAGTAAATCAATACAAGTGAAATTACTAATTAAATTTATCAAATGTGGGAGCAGGATCACCGAATGTATCTGGGTATAGAACTTTAAACACATACAAAGTGTAAACTATATCTAATAAACTCATCGTTTAACAAATAATTTGACATCATAAAACACGATCCCTTAATTCCTTAATTCTCACGCTCTTCAAAGAAAACTATACAGAAAAGAGTAGAGTGAATACCACCAAACTTTACACACAACCCTCTGAGTCTTTTGATTTTCCAAGAAGTTCGAGAAAATTAGACAACAACTATTCAGTCTCTGACTTATGACAAGTTTTTGAATTACCTTTTTACCATGTGATTCACTCAACTCTATATACAACAGACCCATGTGCATGCTTTCCTCATTCACGCTTTTATTTTATTTTTTATTTGATAATTAAATGTTATATTGTTCACTATGTTTGGCTTACTATTTTTATCCAGATTTTGGATCCTATTCTCTAAATAACGTTTGGCTTATTATTCCAAGAATATTATCCTATTTTTTTAATTACTTTTAGACCCCATAAGGTTATTAATTTCATCAAATACACCATAAAAAAAAAAGTTTAAAAATTATCAAAAACACCCCCGCAACCCATACTCGCCAGATTTCGGCTACCACCGTTTAAAAATTATCAAAAACACCCCCGCAACCCATACTCGCCAGATTCCGGCAACCACCATCGATGGTAGCCGAAATCTATACAACGGCCAACCTGCCGACCATAAATGGCCGGAAGTTCACGGATCTGGCCTTTTCCGGCCAGATCCACCACGGATTTGGCCGGAAAAGGCCAGATCTGGCCGTGAACGACGGCCAAAGATATGGCCGTCGTTTTCGGTCAACGATAGCCAAGATTTGGCCGTCGTTGACCTCAACGACGGCAGATGGCAATCGTTTTGGCCTTTTTTGGCCATCGACGGTCACGGCAGGCCATAGATCTGGCCTTTTCCGGCCATATCTGTGGTGGATATGGCCGGAAAAGACCATAACGACTTGTTACGACACAGATCCGACTGGTCTGTGTCGTAACGCGATTTTTCGGTCAGATTCCGACGGTGGTGGCCAGAATCTGGCAGTGCAGGTGGTGGGGGTATTTTTGTCAATATACATGTTGGGGGTATTTATGAAATTAGCAAACTTAGGGGGTTTTTCTATAAATTTTTAAATTTTACCTCGTAATACTCCTATATTCAATTATCTAATACTATCTCTAAAATCCTACCCAAAATAATAAACCAAACGCATATGTTACTTTTTTGACTTTGACAAACACAGTACGATTTTTTACAGTTATTAATTTCTACTTTATCATACCAATAACCTTACTAGAAGTTTGGTGGAAATTTCATTACAATTATTAATTTTTACTTTATCAGAATTTACCCTTTTTATTTCTTGACTTTTGACAAACACCGTATTAGAAATCGCGTCCACAGCTATGCCAAATTCTGGTCATTTCTTCACAAATACGTGTCGTTGCTCTAATCTAAAAGCAACACGAAAGAAGGTATCAGACCCATGTCAGACAAATACTTATCGTTTAACAAACAATCTGACGCCATACAACAGCGTCATTTTGGATTCACAAAATTTCTTCAATTTTTCTCTCTTCATAATTTTCACTCTTAAAAAAAGTAATAATAATAAATAAACTACCACCAAACTCCCAAGAAAGTTTTGAGGAAATTACACATCAATTATTTTCTCTCCGAGTCCTTGAATTTCCACACTTTATGACGAGTCTTTGGATTACCTTTTTACTTTTTCAGCATGTCATGTGCATGCTTTCATGCTTCCCTTTTTTTTTTTTTTTTTTAGGGAAAACAACTTACTGATACCTAAAGTTTATCAAAACAATAAGTTAGTACTCAAAAGATTTTGAAACGACAAATAGATATCTTCCGTCATGTTCTATTAGTGATTTTTGTTTGATAATAGTAAAATGACTAAAATGCTCTTGAAAGTTTGATATGTTAGTTTTTTATAAATTTAAAATTTTTTTCTAAAAAACCCCCTAGGTTTACTAATTTAACTAAATACCCCAATATATAAAATAACAAAAATACCCCCGCCACCTGCAGTGCCAGATTCTGGCCACCATCGCCGGAATTTGACCGAAAAATTGTGTTACGACACAGACTTGTCGGATCTGTATCATAATGCGTCGATCTGGCCGGAAAAGGCCAGATCTGGCCGTCGATGTTGCAGATAAAGTTTTGCGACCTCGACGGCCAGATCTAGCCGTGTTCATATATTAGGTAACAAAAAGGTGAAGTTATATGACTTAACAATCACATTTTATATTGAATTGCTTCATACATTAAGCTTGACACTTTGAGAGTCAATCTCATTTGTACACAATTGATTGTGATTATCAT